CAAGTCTCTTCAGTATAAAGCTGTGAGCATTCCGACTGGCTGCCCAATAGTAAGGCAATGACTTACCCAAAACAAACAGATGTGCCTGCCCACGTCTTACTCACGACACAGGCACCCTGGGAGCCAGGAGATGCGAGGTGAGTCTGAACCCCCATAGCACATGCTATACTGATGCTGTGGAGCAGGAGCAAGGTCGAGTCACAGGCGTAGGCTCTGGGTCACAGTTCTGGACAGGCTCATGGAGTTGAAAAAGCCAACGTTGGTCAGAAACAAACCACTGGGCCCTAGAAACCTGAAGATTGTCAGGGGACTGTGCAGTTGAAGGTAGCATAAGAGGGGGCAATTTTTATGGGTCCTTAAGGCTTTTACACTTTCCACATAGCAGTGAGTGCTTAGCACGTGCTGGAACCAACAGCAGGAGGCAATCACAATGCCTCTTTTCAAGTGTCTACTTACCCAGAAATTCAAATTTCTTTAAACATTTTCCTTTTGGTGAATGTTTCAGACAGCAAATTCAGGACAAGCAGATACCATCAGCTCAACTCGCTTCAGCAATTAACCTCATTACACGTGAACATTTTACTCCCACAAACACAATTTAAAGCATTACTCCAAGACAATTTTTGACATAATTCCTGGAAGAATACAAATAAGGAATCCATTAACTGGAAAAGTTACTCAAGTTTTACCAGGGATAAACCAGCTCACTAAAAGGCTTTTAGTTTTGCTGCAAGTGTGTAAGCAAAGGTGAGTGTGGCAGTCGAAGACCATATCCCTAGGAACACCTTCATTCATCTGTGGATCATCCAGCACTAGGCAACAGGCTGCGGAGCAATGGCAGCCGAGTGAAGGTCGTCACCAGCCCATGGGGAGATAACCAAAACTGAACACCTCAACCAGTGCTAGACAATAGGCTGTGGAGCGATGGCAGCTGAGTGAAGGTCGTCACCAGCACCAGACAATAGGCTGTGGAGCGATGGCAGCTGAGTGAAGGCTGTCACCAGCACCAGCCCATGGGGAGATAACCAAAACTGAACACCTCAACCAGTGCTAGACAATAGGCTGCAGAGCGATGGCAGCTGAGTGAAGATCATCACCAGCCCATGGGGAGATAACGAAAACTGAACACCTCAACACACATGGGGCTACAGGTGCATTTTATGATGATAGAGTCACTGGCCCGCCCATTTCTAATGGGATAAAGTAACACAAAGCTTGGAAAATTCATATCTTTCTAAAGAAGGCAGAGGGCAGATCAGTGATTACTCAGTGAGAATATGGGCCTTCCAAGGCCTGCAGGAAGCCTCTATCATCTTATCATGAATTTAAACATTTGTATAGGCAGGTAGACCAAGGTTCCTCTCCATCTCCTCTTCTACCTCTTCCCTACTGTATAAGTTTTTCTCACACTGATAATAAAAACACACCTAAGACTGGGCAATTTATAAAGAAAAAAGGGGTTGAATGTACTCACAGTTCCACATGGCTGGGGAGGCCTCACAATCATGGCAGAGGGTGAAGCAGGAGCAAAGCCACATCTTACATGGTGGCAGGCAAGAGCGTATGTGCAGGGGAACTGGCCTTTATAAAACCATCAGATTTTGTGACACTTACTCACTATCACAAGAACAGCATGAGAAAAACCTGCGCCCATGATTCAATTACCTCCCACCGAGTCCCTTCCATGAAAAGTGGAGATTACAGGAGCTACAATTCAAGATGAGATTTGGGTGGGAACACAGCCAAACTATATCATTCTTCCCTGGTCCCTCTTAAATCTCACACCTTCACATTTCAAAATTGATCATGCCCTCCTAACAGTCTCCCAAAGTCTCAACTCATTTCAGCATTAATTCAAAAGTCCGTAGTCCAGAGTCTCATCTGAGACAAGGCAAGTGCCTTCCACTGATAAGCCTGTAAAATCGAAAGCAAGTTAGTTACTTCCTAGACACAACAGGGGTACAGGCATTGAGTAAATATACTCATTCCAAATGGGAAAAATTGGCCAAAACAAAGGGGCTACAGGCCCCACACAAGTCCAAAATCCAATATGGCAGTCATTAAACCTTAAAGTTCCAAAATGAGCTCCCTTGACTCCATGTCTCACATCCAGGTCACACTGATGCAACAAGTGGGCTCTCACAGTCTTAGGCAGCTCTACTTCTGTGGCTTTGCAGGGTGCAGCCTCCCTCCAAGCTGCTTTCATGACCTGGCATTGAGTGTCTGTGGCTTTTCCAGGTGTGCAATGCAAGCTGTTGGTTGATCTACCACTCTGAGGTCTGGAGGACGGTGTCCCTCTTCTCACAGCTGCACTAGGCAGCGTCCCAGTGGGGACTCTGTGTGGTAGAGTCCAACCCCATATTCCCCTTCCACACTGCCCTAGCAGAGGTCCTCCATGAGGGCCCCACCCCTGCAGCAAACTTCTGCCTGTATATCCAGGCATTTCCATACATCATCTGAAATCTAGGTAGAGGTTCCCAAACTTCAATTCTTGACTTCTGTGTACCTGCAGGCTCAACACCATGTGGAAGCTGCCAAGGCTTGGGGCTTGCACCCTCTGAAACCACAGCCTGAGCTGTACCTTGGCCCCTTTTAGCCACAGCTAAAGTGACTGAGATGCAGGGCACCAAGTCCCTAGGCTGCACACAGCAGGGGGGCCCTAGACCTGGCCCAGGAAAACTTTTTTCCTTCCTAGGCCTCCACATCTGTGACTGGAGGGGCTGCTGTGAAGGTCTCTGACGTGCCCTAGAGACATTTTTCCCATGTTCTTGGTGATGAACATTTGGCTTCTCATTATTTATGCAAATTTATGCAGCCATTTTTAGTTTCTCCTCAGAAAATGGGTTTTTCTTTTCTGTTGCACCATCAGGCTGCAAATTTTCCAAACTTTTATGCTCTGCTTCCTCTTGAACATTTTGCCACTTAAAAATTTCTTCTGCCAGATACCCTATATCATCTCTCTCAAGTTCAAAGTTCCACAGATCCCTAAGATAGGGACAAAATGCCACCAGTCTCTTTGCATAGCAAGAGTGACCTTTACTCCAGTTCCCAACAAGTTCCTTATCTCCATCTGAAACCATCTCAGCCTGGACTTTATTATCCATATCACTATCAACATTTTTGTCAAAGCCACTCAACAAGTCTCTAGGAAGTTCCAAACTTTCTCACATTTTCCGGTCTTCTTTTGTGCCCTCCAAACTGTTCCAACCTGTCTGTTACCCAGTTCCAAATTCAATTCCACATTTTCAGGTATCTTTAGAGCAGTGCCCCACTCTTTGTGGTACCAATTTACTGTATTAGTCTGTTTGTGTGCTGCTAATAAAGACATACCTGACACTGTGTAATTTATAAAGAAAAAGATGTTTAATGGACTCACAGCTCCACATAGCTGGGGAGGCCTCACAATCACAGCAGAAGGCAAAAGAGGAGTAAAGTCACATCTTACATGGCAGCAGGCAAGAGAGTGTGTGGAGGGGAGGAGAACTGCCCTTTATAAAATTATCAGCTCTCATGGGACTTATTCACCATCATGAGAACAGCATGGGAAAAACCTGCCCCCATGATTCAATAACTTCCCACCAGGTCCCATGATACTTGTGGATTATGGGAGCTACAATTCAAGATGAGATTTGGGTGGGGCACAGCCAAACCATATCATGTACTTCCTCCAAACTTAGCTGAGAATGGGACTTGTGTGTGTGTGTGTGTGCGTGTGTGTGATCAGTTTGAACAGCATTTCACAGCACATGGGTTTGGGAATTGGACAATCTGTGTCCTAGACAAAAGACACATTGCCATTATTGTATTTAATCTAGTCTTGGTCACCAGGAAGACATATTGCAATTTGGGACTAAAGTCTTGGCTAATAGTAAAGAATTTCTGCCTTAGATTCTTGAACCAGCAGTGGGTGACTAAGGGAGTATTTGAGGTTTTCAATCTCAATTAAATATCACCTGTAATTAATAGTAAAATCCTTGGTGTATGAATTTAACACCAGGATTAACACAATAAGGTTATTGAAGTCAATGTTTAAATTCATATATTCTGTCAGTTCTAGTTTATAACCACTTTTCCTCCTCTGGGATGACTTCCATATATTTGACAATTATTTCCAATGAGTTTGTTCCTGCGCAAACACTTGGCCAAGAGTCCCAGCCTGGTGCCTCTTCCTGGTCCCTCTCGGTATCCTTATGACCATCGGTTGTCACCATGAGCTCAGCATCAAACAGTACAGCCTCAGCTGAAGAGATGAACAGAAACACTGAAAAAGCTCTCTGGAGAGCCACAGAAAACTTTGCAAAGGAAAGGAGGGAAAAATAAGTGGTTGTCAAAAATGGATGACATCTTTAGATCACTTTGGGGCCTTTCATTATGGAGAATTTCTTTAGCATACAAGTCCTGATTAATCCAAAGCAAACCTAAACAAACGCTCAAAGGCTGCTTTGTGGGTGATTTCATCTCATCTGGGTTAAACTGTGTGATAGCTTATTACAGGTCTGCTGTGGAAACACCTACAAAAGCTTTCTGGATAGCAAGCTGTTAAAAAAAATGTTTTTCCTGTTAGATGTCAGAATAGAGATAATTTGATGTGAGTTTTAAAGAACAAGATGTCCTTTGGTTGCATTTCATACATAGCAGTGATTCACAGTGGAAATGCTTTATTTAGAAATTTTGAATAAGTTACACTATCTGGAAGTGAGGTGATTCCACATAATAGTATTTGAAAAACAAAAATAAGTATCTTTTGGTAGATTTGGTTTATGTTTCTCTTTAATTCTCTACTTTAGGTAAATGAGTTAATAGTAATTTAGCTCCCCTCCAAAAAACAAAGGCAGTTGGGAAGGTGTCAAATGGAGAATTTTGGAGGAGAGACAGGAGTTTAAAACCTGGCTCCACCAGATCAGTCTAGTGCAATCTTGGGCAAGGTAAGTGGTCCTTCTTAGGCTTATTTTCCTAACACGTAACATGGGCCTGTGAACCCAGAAAGTCAGAGACAGGTCTCAGTTGATTTAGGAAGTTTATTTTGCCAATGTTGAAGACATGCCCATGACACAGCCTCAGGAGGTCCTGACGACACATGCCTGAGGTGGTCGGGGCACAGCTTGGTTTTATACATTGTAGGGAGATATGAGACATCAATCAATATATGTAAGAACTACCTTGGTTTAGTCTGGAAAGGCGAGACAACTCGAAGCAAAGGCAGAAAGGCAGAAAGACTCCAAGCCTGGAGGGAGCTTCCAGGTCACAGACAGGTGATGCACAAACTGTTGCATTCTTTTGAGTTTCTGATTAGCCTTTCCAAAGGAGGCAATCAGATATGCATCTACCTCAGAGAGCAGAGAAGTGACTTTGAATACAATGAAAGGCAGGTTTGCCCTAAGCAGTTCCCAGCTTGAATTTTCCTGAGTAATTTTGGGGGCCCAAGATGTTTTCCTTTCACAGGCCTAATGCTATCGGATCTATAGAGTCTGGAGTATTGCAAAACTCCCTTTCTGACCTCCCGAGGGACTTTGGACATTTGTGTACCTCAGCCTGATGACAAGCCTTTGATTGCCTTACAGATAATTCCTCACCTGCTTGCCAGAGGCTCCCACATCGGCCCACTGCCCTGAAATAGCAATGCAGAAAAGCCAGAGAGGGAGATCTGGGGCCAGGCAGGCAGGCTCAAATCCTGAGTGTGACTTGCTGGCTAGGGCACTGAGTCAGCTGCTTCACCTCAGTGCTTCGGATATTTGAGGGCTGGTACCTACAGGGCTGTTGTGGGGTTAAATGGGTGACATTTGTAAGAGAGACAACGACCCTCAGCCCATTTGTTAGTAGGTGCTATGTACACATTACATTAAAGAGCGTGTTCTTGTGCTCATGTAGCCAGATCTCTTGACAGATTCACCTTCGATCTTGCTCTTTTTCCTGCTCCATCTCCTTTCACTCCAACTTTCAAATCTTGACAACAGTTAACTGGTAGTGGTCCTCTCTCAGAGATTGTGGAATTGTCTCCACACTAGCAGTTAAGAAAGGGGCACCAGCAATGGAAACTGGAAAACTCTAAAATTACAGGGGCCTCACATAGCAGGAGTTTCATTTTTCACTCACATAATGTCCAAAATGGGTGTTCCTCACCAGCAGCGAGACCGGCTAGGAGACTCTATGACAGGCAGGCTTTCAGGGGTCCCCCACCTGAAGGAGACTCTGACTTTACTATGGGGCTTCTAAGAACACAGAGAAGTCAGCAGCAGGCAGATGGGGTCAAAGCCGGAGTGGAGGGCCCATGGGGATGTTTCTGTGGGCTGGTGCTGGATGTAGGTGAATCTCTCTGTCCATGCTCCACTGCCTGGGACTCAGTTGCCTGAGTTCCCTGATGCAAGATGAGTTGGCAAACACAGTCCCTCATGGAGCAGCAACTTTTCAGCAAAATATCTGCATTTTGAAAGGGGAGCACAAGTCTTTGGTTGAAAGTTTTCCCATCTACCCATTCCTGCCCCCCACACAACAAGAAATACTTAAATATTTGTTATCATTAATGATGATCAATACAGCAAGTAAAATTTGGAAATAGCTGTCATTTTTTACCACATTAATATGTCTCTTGCTTCTACACAGTTTGCCTCGTAGCCTTGCATCCCGAGATGGATGTGACCTTTCTCAAACCACCTGGGACCATCTGTGTTCCAGAAAAGCAGAGCGATGCCCCTACATGGTCAACAGTACACCCCACTGAATGCTGGGCACCTTCTCATTGGTTAATTCTCAGTCCACCTAGCAAGTACCTGAAGTGGTAAACCCATGAGTGTTCTAACTGGTAGGTTCTTGTGGAAACCATGAAGCCCTCTAAATTAAGGACAAGCACATTCATTCACTTCAAATATTCTCTTGCTATTCCTTATGGAAAGAACATCTTTTTGGATCCTGGAAGGCAGTTTGAATACAGGGAAGAGATCCCCAACAGTCCCCATGGAACACATTGATTGACGTGCTGGGAGCAGCCCCGCCATTGTGGTGATGCCGCTCCAATGCAGCGGGGGATAGGAACAGTTGATAGTTAGTTCACAGGCCATGCTGAGAGGTGGCACGGCTCATGGTAGACTGGATTCAGAGCCAGAGAGGCCTCGGAAATCACCTGGCCCAGCCCCTCATCACAAGGTGAGGCAACCTGCAGGATGATCTATTTTAGTCTTCCAAAGACAGCTAACCCACCACTGATGCCTTTTTAAGCCCATGATTAGTGGGAAGCCAAACAGGTTAAGTGGGACTTCAGCTGTTCCACCAAGCAGGGGCCCACTGTGAAAATCTCTCAGTGTCTTCCTCACTGATATAAACAAATGTGTGCCCACATTCTTTGACCCACTAATTTAAAATAATTTGGTAGTCTTGATTCAAGTACATTTGACCAGAGAAGACAAAGACAAGAATGCCTGTATCAATATAAACTGTCACTGCCATTTTGGAATATTGGTCTATTTCTCATCTTTTTTCTCCCTCACACTGTTAATGTCTACATAGAGGGCTTGTGCTTCCAGGATTAAAAATAATTCAGTTATTGATATTTGTGTATGATCTCAGCCAATAACTTGTCTAAAGAGAATATTTTATTCCTGGGATAAGAATATATTTCTATATCCAATGCATGTTTTTAAAACATAATTTTCATTGTGAAATACTACACATATTTTAAGAAAGTATGAAAAACATAAATTTATGCTTTAATGAATTATTACATGAACACTAATGGAACTACTATCTAGATCAAGTATGTCTTCTGTCTAACCTTGTCCTGACGTTAATGTCTCCCAGGTAAACATCACCAAGGCCACAAGTTGGGTTTACTATTTGAAAAGGAGAGAACAAAGACCAGGTGGAATGGCAGAACTCTCTAGCATGAGGATGTTAGAAGGAACCTATTATAGGATTTGACTCGTGCTTGGTAATTTGGGGTGGGGGATCTAAGGAAGCAGGACTGTCTTTGGATTGGATCTTCTCAGGAAACAAGAGTAATTTTTAAATTTGATACCTCAGTAAATCTTACCTAGAAAGAGGAAGGACTAGATCTAGACTGAACCTGTAGCTGATAAAGATGCAGCCATCACTCATTATCCAGGAGAGGGGGATATTTGCGATTCCGTGGCTTGGAAAATGTTCCTATTTTGTCTGTGTTCAGATGTGATCGTTGGGGAATCTTGCTTTTGCCTTACTCCATGACTGATGTTGTCTGATGCTGATGTTCTCTGACTTGTTTGTCTTCAACAGGAGAGCACCGAGGGCTTACTCAAGGCACAAGGCCAGCCCCTGGCCATGAGGGCGGAAGAGGGCGCCCGACCGTGGGCGGAGGGGGCCCGGCGGAGGGCGGAGGGGCCCTGGCCGGGGGGGAGGGCGCCCTGGCCGGGGGGAAGAGGGCGCCCCTGGCCGTGAGGGCGGAAGAGGGCACTATATCCCCCCCCCATATCCCCACCCCCATATCCCCTCTTCCGGAGAGTGGGGATGGACTAGCAGCCACTGTGTCATTTAAATGGACCTTTTGTAATGACAAGAATTAAGGCATTGAAATTGTCTACTTGGTAGGGATAGGTAAGTGTTTTTAGTCTCATGTTCACATTGACGTTTTGTGTTTTTTTCCTCCAGATCAACATCAAAACAATTCTTCTTTTTCCTCGATTGTTTAATTAACTTCTGAAGAAAGCATTTAAGGATTAAATAATTAGATGACCATCGCAACCTCTCTGGGGCATATGTTTTTATTTTCTTATAATTATTTATCTATAACTTTAAAAAGGCCTGACTATAACTTGTGTTGTTATGTTGTAGTCTTTAATCTTTCTCCACCCTCAACTCCATGCCAAGTGTATCTAACCTGGAATGAAGTAAGGGGAAATGGTGTGTGGTGTACAGTTTCAATAATCAGCTAATGACTAGCAGCAGGAAATCTGCATCAGAAACATATAAAACATGTCTTCTTTATTTCACCACATAGCTCCCAGGGTCGAGAGACTTGCAACATTCCCCCGACTTTAGCGTAACTTGCTGTGGAACATTGGGTTTGATCCTAGCGTCTGTAATATGGGGGTAAGAGGATTTCTGGGGATAAACGAAGCAACGCAGATAACATGCTCTGAGTTCTTAAAAAACTGCTTAATGTTTTACAAAGTTTTTCTAACTTACATTTACACATTTTTTCCATACCATAGCCTTATTATTTTAAGTAAGATGACAATATTCAACCACACAGAGGTTTGCAATAGGCACATGTAGCTTATTTTAGAGTCATTTATATTCTTACCATTCTGCAACTGAATTTTTCAACATGGCTCTTCAGGGCTGTTCTCTTGAAGAAAATTTTGCTAATTTTTCTTTAAGAGTCTCCTTTGCATGCAATCAAAGCACTACGCTAAGAAAGCAAGAAAAACAAAAGCCTCTACTCCTGTTGGCATTAAGGCTGTGGCTTTCAGTTCAAGAATTCCTGCAGTGTTGAAAATGAGCTCATGGATGAACAGCTCTGTATGGATTCAAATGTGACTGTTTCCTGGCACCTGCTTCCCAAGCCATTGCATGCTGTAATTAGTAATTACTAAGCACCATGTGGGCATTACCAGCATTTCCGATGTGCAGTGCCACCTGCTTTCCTGTTAGTAGTTACTAGCATTTTGGGACAGTCCGAGGAAATCTGAAGTGGTAAATCAGTGGGCACTCATCAGTGAAAGAGAAAAATGTGCATATATTCCAACTACTGACTTTAGAAAACATACATTGTCTATAGACTCCCTGAACCTGCTCCAGGCCCTTACGCAAAGTAGACTGTACTTTTTACTCTTTCTATTTTATCTAGAGGTAGATATTATCAGATATATTATAGAAGTATGGAGAAAAAGGCAAAACAACAGGTAACAATAGATGCATGACAGCCATTATTCAGGAATAAAGAAAACTACTGGCAAGGGTAAAAGTAACTGACAAGGGTAAGTTTCTTGACTTAAAAAAATCAGTGACACAAGAAAGAATACGAGGTCTTACAGCCAAAGAGTTGAGCTTAAGAACCACCCTGTGCTCATTAGATGAGACATGGGCTGATTGTCTCACTCCTCAAAGTGCCCTTTTCTCATCTGTAGAATGGCGATTCTAACACCTCCCCTACCAACTTTCTTGGAACCCCTTTAATATTTTGTCTAGCTGCCCCTTACCAACATTAGTAATACAGTTTATCTGTAAAATGAAAGAAATAAATTAAATAATTGCTAAGTCTTCTTCCTAACTCTAGAATTGAAAAAAAAATATGGCTTTCTGCCTTCCCCATTCTCTGAGTACCTAGTTCACATCATAAGATCACATAAAGCACTGACAATCACCAGGGATGGAACAGCTAGTATGTTCCAGGCCCTTCATGATGTTATCACTGTCTTCATTTTACCCCCTTTCCCAGAAAACACACATACTTTATTAGTTTAAGAGTATTTACATATTGTTTTATCAAGCACTAATTAGGCACCTAATATGTACTAGGCACTATGTATTAAATACGAATATTCGAGATTTACAAATGAAGAAGCTTACACTAAATAGCAAGAGATTAAATAGCTAGTTAGTTCCTGAAGCAGGAATCAAACTGAGGTCTGTTGTTCCAAAGGTTATATTCTACCATGATGCTATTTCTCCAAAGATTTCATCTGATAAAAATGAAATGTCTTTAAATTTTCAAATGTTTCTTGTTTAGTATAATAACAACTGAACAGAATCTTGGGGGAATACACTTTGGTCATGAGTACCATGGCCTAAAAAGGTTTTTGCTGATGAGTGAGGAATATGAAGAACATCTCTTCTGATCCATAATATCTAAGTTGCAGGTGTCCTGCACTACTACTGTAGCCAGAAAACACAACAACCTGGGCAGCTATGGTTTAATGGAAAGATCAAGGCTTGAAGTAAAAAATTAGGGCCCTGATCCTTACTCTGTCCAATACTAGCTTATTCCGTTAAACAAATTTTTTAACTTCTCAGAATTTGGTTCTACTGTGTTTAGAACAGATGGTAAACTGTTGTACGCCTGCCTCACAAAGACATGTAAAGCACGTTGTTAAATGTGATGCTCTGTGAGTAGAGCTACTGATCACAGTGGAAGACGGCATTTCAAGTACTGATTAACTAAAGTTGAGCTTGATATTATGACTTGAAGCCTCAAAGCAAGAAAGATTGCTCAGTGAGTGGGCAGAAAAAGAATGTTACAGAGTTCCCATCGTCTGGGTTTGGATGCCCAAGGAAGGAGCCTGGTAGTGGAGCAGAAAGTACTAGATGTACCAGAAGATACCGGACAAGGCTAATGGTTAGGTTCATGAATAGAATTAGCCTGAGGAAGGGGATAGTAGCTCACAGGCCAAGTGCCCGGGCAGTCATTGACAAAGTACCAACCCCAAACTGAAACTTGAGGAAGAGTCAGGTTACCAAAGCCAAGGCCCAGCAGAGGGAAATTGTTGTGGGGAAACCCAACAGGCACAGGTCCCAAAGTAGCCGATGTGTGAGGTGAAACATAGTATTGGAGTGCAGCGGCCCAGGACAGCTCCAGTGGGGAGCGCCTGGGTTCCATCCTATAGCTCTATTGCACATTCCCTGGGTCATTTGCCTTTGTATTGTATTCAGTTTCAGCTGCTTTGCTCACAAATTGCTCGATGAGAGGCAGGGCTAAGGGCCACGCTGAGAAAATGAATGAGCAGAGCAATGTGAAATGAGTGTGCTCATCTGAGAAAGATTTTCAAGTAGAGAGACCTTGAAATCCAAGGCTACTTGGATTTAAGGGAGCCAAGAAGCAAGAAAAATTACATACTTAATTGCGATTAAATGTGTTCTTTTAGAAGCTGGGGAACCTTAAACCACAAAATAGCAATTAACATTCTTTATCTGACACCAAAACAATTTGAAACTTCTTGTGTCTTAAAATGCTGTTGGCAGCTGCTGGCTTTTGGAAAAGGTGAGCGGGCATATGTGTTTTCTATCTTCTTCACCCCTTTTATTAGTGACAACAAATGGTTTCTTACTGAAGCCAAATGATTTATTTTATATTTGTGTTAATTACAGAGCAGAAAGCCTAAATTCTGCAGGATATTTCCTCTGTGTACAGGATGAAGACATCTCCATGAACATCTGTGGCTACATGTTGCATCTTCAGATGAAAAGTTCTACAGTTGTATGAAAAGAAAGAATTTAAGCATTTTTATGAAGTTAAAATACTTATTAAACATGCATATATTTTCAGGCTATTTTTTATTCTAAAATAAAATTCAGCTGGGCACAGTGGCTCATGCCTGTAATCCCAGAACTTTGGGAGGCTGAAGAGGGAAGATCGCTTGAATGCAGGAGTTCGAGACTCTCCTGAGGAACATAAGGAGACCCCATTTCTACAATTTTTTAAAAATTAGCTGGGCATAGTGGTATGTGCCTGTGGTCCCAGCTACCCGAGAGGTTGAGGTGGGAGGATCGCTTGATCCCATGAGGTGAAGGCTACAGCGAGCTGTGATCATACCACTGCACTCCAGCCTAGGTGAGAGAGTGAGGCTTTGTCTCAAAAAAATAGAGAAAATAAAATAAAATCCCCAATACATTACTTTAGTAAACACCTGTATTCAGTTGGAATATGTTTGCTTATATATAGTGACTAAATAAAGTAGATGTGCATTCTTACATTCAAGAATTTCAAACTTCCCTTTTTTTTTTTATATAACAATGACAGTTTTGAAGATTACAAGCCAATTATTTTGTAGCACAACCCTCAATTTGGATTTATCTTTTTTTTTTTTTTTTTTTTTTTTTGAGATGGAGTCTGGCCCTGTTGCCCAGGCTGGAGTGCAGTGGCCGGATCTCAGCTCACTGCAAGCTCCGCCTCCTGGGTTCACGCCATTCTCCTGCCTCAGCCTCCCGAGTAGCTGGGACTACAGGCGCCGCCACTTCGCCCGGCTAGTTTTTTGTAGTTTTTAGTAGAGACGGGGTTTCACCTTGTTAGCCAGGATGGTCTCGATCTCCTGACCTCGTGATCTGCCCGCCTCAGCCTCCCAAAGTGCTGGGATTACAGGCTTGAGCCACTGCGCCCGGCCCCAATTTGGGTTTATCTTATGTTTCTTCC